TTTATTAGCTCTAACAAATCTTTTTTGGTAAAATCAGTAGGGTTTTCTACATAAAAGATCATCTCATGTGCCAACAGAGACTGTTCCACTTCTTCCTTTCCAATTTACCATGCTTGATTTTCATCCACAGTGTTCATCACCATCCGACATACCATAAATGTACTGGTGTATTAGTTCATTGCCTGACTCCTCCAAGACTAAAAAGTAAGTTCCATAATGGCAGGTACTTTTTACCTGCTTTTTTCGCTGCCCCTTGAAAGTGCCTGGCTCATAGTAGGTGCTCAACAAATAGTTCTGAAATGAATGAATCACCTCACCTGGCACACAGAAGGGACTTAGCAAATGGTAGCAAAAAATAATAATAATTATTTTTTTACACAGTATTTTACAGCAAGAGTAGTAAGTAAGCCTTAAAATGAAAAGTTTTCATTATGCAGAATGATTGCAGTGTCAAAAAATAAACAGCACCATGACTCCAGCTACACTGGAGTCCCAGGGCAGGCCCCGACTCACTCCCTGGCATGCCCTTTCAAGTAATCCCTGTGGCCATCACAGATGACAACTCAGTTCAGGTGCCAATCTACACAGAGGGACTTCTGTAAACAGGCCACTCTGTCCCGTCATCCCTGGTCAAATCCTCCATGATATCCCATGGGGCCAGGGCTGGCCCAGCCAGAGGGCTGGCCAAGTGGCCAGTGTCCAAAATCTGTGGAGCTGGAGCTGGGACAGGGACTCCTGCCAAAGGCAGCACACAGGACCGAGAGCCAGGGCAGCCTGTCACAGCCCACTAGGAAGAGCCTGGGTTCCAATACAAACAGAAGCCAGAGTGCCGAGGGTGGAGCCAAGGCCAGGGCGACAGAGCCAAGGCTCAAAGTAAGTAGGTCGGTCAGGAGCCAGTACTGGGGGGGGTGGGGGAGATGTCACGGTCATGGTCTGCGGGACCAGCCGGGGCTGGCACTGGCATCTGTGCGTAACAGGTGGGGCCCTTGCGGAGCCGACGTATAAGGACCAGGGGCAGAGCAGGCATCCTCAGCGTCTTGGCATATTCCCGGCTCAGCTCCTTTTCTGCAACACCCTTGGCTTAAATATAGCACTTCCTGGGAAAGGCTGTTTCTTCTCTCAGGGGCTAATTAGGAAAGTAACCATGTTCCCCATTCCCAAATGCCTTCTAAGGTGAGCTGACCTTAGAATATTATTCCATTTTAGATCTGATCTCCCACCTGATATTTCTCTAAATACAAAAACACCCTGAACTAAGATTATCTAAAATTCTAATCAAGATAATAATTATAATAAATATATATATATATAAAGTGCCAATATTCTGCCAGTTCCCCTTCGAGCCACTAAGATTGGGCTTCCTGAGAAAACAGTGAATGATTTAGATCGAAAGTTCTCAAACTTTAAAGTGCCTGGACCCTTGTACCCTTAAAAATTATTGAAGATTCCAATGAGCTTTTGTTTATGTAGGTTGTATCTACCAATTTACCATATTAGTAATTAAAACAGGGAATTTTAAAACTATTTATTCATTTTAAAATAGCAGCAATAAAACCATTACATGTTAATATAAATAGCATCACTTTTATGAAAAATAATCACAATTCCAAAAAAAATTCCATGTAAAGAATGGCATTGTTTTACATATTAGCAAACTGTTTAAAGATCTGGCGTAATCTGGTTTAAAGATCTGGTTTAGTAAAAGACAGCTGCACTCTCATATCTGCTTTTACGCTATTGTGATGCGTTGTTTTGGTTGAAGTTCATGATGAAAATCCAGTGTCTCACACACAGGTAGTCGCACACCTACTTTTCAGGTAGCACCTGGAAGGGTCTTGGGGACACCCAGGGTCCTCACACCATGCTTTGAAAATCACCGGTTTGGATAACGATGGTGCCACCACCATTCTTCTCACCCACGTGGACCTTGGAGATGAGGAGAAGCAGGACTCAGGATAGGAGGGAAGATGATTGTGGGGTGAAGGGTGCAGAGTAGTCACAGGGTTGGTGCTTCATTATCCAGATACACTGGCCAAGAGCGGACTGACCCAAGCGGCTCGGCTCCCTCCTGGGGAAAGGCAGTGTTGAGATGGAGTTTCCTGATGAGCCAGCCCTGGACCACAGTTGGTAGGGACCAAATGCTGAAAGGGAACAATTTTGGGGAGACAGGTCCTGGGGAGGGAAGCAGAGTGCAGCAGTACTCACCCCGAGATGCACACTGGATCACCTGGGAGATTGAAGTGCTGATTTGATTGGTCTGAGCAAAAGCCTGAATAGCAGGGGTTTTGAAAGCTCCCCAGGTGGTTCCCATGTGCAGCCAGCGTGAGCACTGAAGTGGGCTCAGGAAGCAGACCACCTGGGTTTGAATCCTTGCTCCACTAGCTATATACACAACTCTCACTAGTTGTATAACTAACCTCAGGCCAATTATTCAGCATCGGTTTACTTATCTGCAAAATGGGAAGGTCATGAGGGATGTTGTGAACGCTCCGTGAGATCACCCATCTAGAGTTCTTGGCGCTGTGACTGGCAGAGTGTGTACTGGGCAGGATGCAGCTGTCACTATTTGTTATGGAGGTGATCAGAGCAGCTGTCAGCCTCTTCCAGCTTCCATGGCCGAGTGTCTCCGAGGAAGCTGCCCCACACACAGGACAAGGCACTGCCACCAAGTAGATGTACAACGTGGGTCTTCTGTTTCCTCCTCTGGAAATACAGGTATTCATCGACTCCCCCCGGCCAGGATCCAATCCCAGTCTCCAGGGGAACAACAGAGCTCTTGGCTGAGATGCACAAAGGTGATGTCACTAGAAACAGGTGCAGGAGAAGCCGGCGCAGAGCGCATGACGGTGCTCACGCTGTGTGTGTGTGTGTGTGTGTGTGTGTGTGTGTGTGTGCGCGTACATGCCCCATAGTCAGACTCCGATGCTGTTTTTTCCCTTTAAAATTATTGAAACATCTCAAATCTATTACAGATGGCAGAGAGGAAAACACAAGAGTGGAAATATTTTAATGGCTTATTCTTGGCCTGTGCGCTGTCCAGAGAGACCTGGAACGAATGAGGCTCCCTCCTCATCTGTCCCTGAGAACATCATTATTACACATCACACGCCGCCTTCCGCCTCGGAGCATCCCCGAAAGTGAACAGCCACGGGGCCAGGGCAAGACAGGCGGACCTGGCACACTCCCTGCACGGGCGGAACGGCCATGACGCCATCGCTTTATTAGGAGGCAGGATGAATCATGCAACACTTCTTCTAGAATTACTGGCTGTGGACAGCTCCTCCAGCTGTTTACAGGGCGGAATCTGAGAGCCTCCAAACACAGATGTGCCGCTGAGTCTCATGACACCCGCACGCCTCGAGATGGGCCTGCCGTGCGGATGGCCGGTGTCATTTCCTTCAGGTTTATTGGCTTTTGTGAATTCACACAGAGAGAGGTGCCAAACAGGCCGAGATAACTAACAGAAATGAACCGGAGGGAGCATCTCGGGCCAATCCTGTGCCTCCTGGAGGAACTATATCTAATCGCCCAGGACACAAAGTTGTCCGGGCTGCCTACGGCCACTAAGGGAGCCAGGGAAACACAGAGATAATTGGATGCAGGGCTCAGCACACTTCATCAGGAGCAAGATTACAGAGGCTAATCCTTCAGACTCAGTGGGTCGGGTGGCAATTAGCAAGCCTCATTAAGGGATCAACCCTCACATCCGGGTCTTGAGGATTGACACTAAGTTAAGCCGCAGACATGTTGGGCTGATTAAGGGAGCAGGGGGCTGGCCCCATGCCAAGATTTCACCTTCCCAACTGCCCCACAGCGAACGTGTTTGGAGGCCAGACGCTGATAAAATGTTTAGAAGCAAAGAGGGTTGCTTGTTTTTTCGTTTTGTTTTTCTTTTTAAAATTTTTTGGTTGTATTCACAGCAATAAATGTATGTTCCATCAAGAGGCAATTAACTAGCTTGAAAATCTCTGCCAAACTGCTCGGTATGAAATGACTTCTTACGCTTTGCGAGCACGCTGCACTCTACCGCGTGGGCGTTTTCCTCTGCCCAGTGAACATCACCCTGGCCATCTCAGCGTGACACTGCGGGGCCCCTGTCGGCATCGAGGGGGCTGCAGCACCTCAAGTGGAGGTGGTACCAGGCTCTGCCTGTGACTCCTGCCTGAGAAGATGCGGGGTTCAGTACCTGTCTCCTCAGGACAGCCACCAAAGGTGTGGGCGTGGGGGGTGTCTACTCTCAAGCGTGGGTTCCGGGCCCCCACTGGCTCCTGAATGGGGAGGACCCCCACCCCGCAATCCTCAGACCCTCCCTCCACAGACCACGCTGGGCAGCCGGAGGGCCCAGCTCACTGCAGGACGGGGTCACCTCCCCAGCCGGCTGCCACCCCAGTTCCGGCTCCCCCTAGGGGTCTCACCGGGAGGTATTTCTTTTCCTGTGTGCAGTGTCAGGTTAAGAAAGGCAATGAGGCTGAAGGAAATGGAAATGAATTTAAACTTGGCTAAAATCTGTAGTTCCTAATGCTGACATCACAAAGGAACCCGCTAATCACATAGCCTTTCTTTTCATTCTTTCTTGTAAAAGAATGCTTCAGAAGCCTCCAGAATGAGGTATTTCTATTTCTCAGCTATTTACCTTTATGCCTAAAGTTATATTAGTTTTGTGAACAAATATTTTATTCCTTCTGCTGATTCTGCTATTCCCTAGCCTGTGAGCTTGAGAAGGGAATGTGTGGGCTGAGGGAAGGGGGTCCGATAGGCAGAAAGGGGGGAAGAAGACACTCCCCTCCACCTCTGATACCTGCTGTCAGCCTGCCAGGGAGATCAACGAGCTTATGCAAGTCACAAAAGCAAACAAAACAAAAAAATCAAAATCAATCTCTCTCTCTCTCTCTCTCTCTCTCTCTCTCCCCCCACCCTCACCTCTCTTCTCTCTCTCTCTCTCTCTCTCTCCCCCCACCCTCACGCACACACACATACCCCAAAATAACAATGACACTTACCTGTTCCTGAACTGCACGCTTTAACAGAGGTAGACCCATGGTAAAATTCACTCTCTGAATTGTCAAAGCTCTCATTTCATCCAAATTTAAATCATACCTGTGTGGAACAGACACAAAATAAGACATTGAACCGTTGGTGACAGCGTGGAGGCTCTGGGACGCTTTGAGCCAGGGCTCAGACAGAGCGATGTCTCTGCTGTGTCTCTTGGTGGACACTGCGCACACTGTGCGTGTCACACAGACTGTGTGTTCCACACGGCTGGCCAGGTGGGAGTGGGGACGGAAGGATGTCCTGACAGGAACAGCCTAAGGCCGGGCGCGGTGGCTCACGCCTGTAATCCTAGCACTCTGGGAGGCCGAGGCGGGCGGATTGCTCAAGGTCAGGAGTTCGAAACCAGCCTGAGCAAGAGCAAGACCTCGTCTCTACTATAAATAAAAAGAAATTAATTGGCCAACTAAAAATATATAGAAAAAATTAGCTGGGCATGATGGCACATGCCTGTAGTGCCAGCTACTCAGGAGGCTGAGGCAGGAGGATCACTTGAGCCCAGGAGTTTGAGGTTGCTGTGAGCTAGGCTGATGCCACGGCACTCACTTTAGCCTGGGCAACAAAGCGAGACTCTGTCTCAAAAAAAAAAGAACATCCTAAAACAAGACTGCAGCTCTCCCACTCTGCAGGGCTTCAAAGAATGCAGACACTCGCATGCGCTGGAGATGGCCCAAGAGCAACACTTGTGAGATGCAGGAGAGGGCGTGACCTGCATGTTACAGGGGTGAACTGTGGTGGCCATAAGGAGTGTCACTCAGGGATGCCTTCAAGAACACCCGCCCGCAACTGCTATGACTTTGAGTGAACTGCAGAGGTCACCCCAAGGCTGCTCTTGTCTAGGCTGCTCCCAGCTGAGGATTGAGCACAGTAAGTTCTAGAGTCAAGCCAGGTCTGACCCATGGGTGACTTCTGCTCCAGGGCCCCTCACTGGCCCATGAAGACTTTGTCACACTGTGCTGTAGTCAGAAGCTTCCCCAAATCCACCCTTTCCTCCCTCTCTCCCTTCACGGGGGCCAGACCTGCTGCCTGCATTCTGGAGGGTCTTCCCACCAAGCCAGCTCCCTCCTCTTTTTCCTAGACGAGTGTTTCCCCCAACAAATCTCTTGCACATCTAGCCCCACCTTGGTGTCTACTTCTCAACGAACCTAAACTGTCACAGGAGGACAGGTTCCACCTCTGCCATCTAAGATGTTTCAATACAAAGCACAGCCTGAGCCTGGAAGACCCTCACTCAGGTTTGATTCCCGGCTCTGCCACTAATTATGTGCCCAACATCAAGGGACTTGGGCTCCCACTATCTCCATCCTCTCATCTGTAATGTGGGAGTGATAATTGTACCTAACTCAACAGCAAACTGTCAGGAAAACTCTAAAACTAGGGAGCTATGGAGTTATCAGACAGGAAGATGGGTGCTAAGGCCTCAGTCATTCAAATGGTGCAAAACAGGCAGATAGACCAATGGAATAAAATATAATGTCAAGAAACAGAAACAGGCCGGGCGCTGTGGCTCACGCCTGTAATCCTAGCTCTTGGGAGGCCGAGGCGGGCGGATTGCTCAAGGTCAGGAGTTCAAAACCAGCCTGAGCAAGAGTGAGACCACAGTCTCTATTATATATATATATAAATAAAAAATATATAAAAATATAAATATAAAAAATTAGCCAGGCATGGTGGCGCATGCTTGTAGTCCCAGCTGCTTGGGAGGCTGAGGCAGGAGGATCGCTTGAGTCCAGGAGTTTGAAGTTGCTGTGAGCTAGGCTGATGCCTAGCTCAGCTAGGCTGATGCCATGGCACTCTAGCCCAGGCAACAGAATGAGACTCTGTCTGAAAAAAAAAAAAAAAAGAAAAAAAAAAAAAGAAACAGAAACAGTAAATTTATATGAAAATTTAATATATGTAAGACAAACCTGGTATATCAAATCATGGAAAAAAACAAAACATTATTGAAACATTCCACTTCAGTAGCCAACTGAAAAAAAATTAAATTGGATCCCTATTTCACAACATATACCAGAATAAATTCCAAATAGATCAATGATTTACATGGAGAAAAATAAAACCATATAGTATTAAAATAAAACATGAAATTCTTCATAATCTTAACTCAAAAAACCTTTCTAAATATGATACAATATTTAAAGAAAAGGTTGTAAATTTGACTAATAGCAAAAACTTCTACATAACAAAACACCATAAGAATAGTCAAAAGACAAATGAAAAATGGAGACAAAATATGTGCTACTGATGTCATTGCAAAAGGGCCAATCTTCCTAATTAAGGAGCTCCTACAATTCATTAAAAACAGACCAAATGGACAAATGATTTGGACAGATGGTTCACAGAATAGGAAATTAACGTCACTTAAACATACCTTTAAAATTTCTGCAATAAGAGGAATTTCAAATTCAATAAGAGAAGCACAAATTAAAACTACACTAAGATACCAGTTTTTACCTGTCACATGAACAAAATCCAGACAGTCTGATAACACACTCTGTTGACAAGGTTGTGGGGAACAGATACCCTCATGCACTAGCCCAGGGGAGAGAGGGAAGCAGGGTATAAATTGGCACAATCTCTACATGTGACAATTAGACAGTGTTTGTCAAAATTACAAATGAACCTGCCTTTTGACTCAGCAATTCCACTTCCAAAAATTTAGCCTTTGAAGAATGGAAGAAGCACGTTTAAGTATGGAGTAAGATATCTCTCTATATATGAACTGTAATATTTAGTAAATTATAAATTCCGTAATTAAAAAAAATGTAGGTCGAGAGAAACCTCAAACTATCAGGACTAGATAGCAAAGCCTATGGGAATGCCAGGACCTGTGTTACAGGCAAGATTCTAGAACACGTGTTATTAGCTACTTTTTTTACATTTCCATTTCAGTAACTTTATTATAAAATTGTTGTTATTCATCTATTTTAAGATCCCCAATGCACATCTATTCTCACATTGTTAAGCTTCCTGATCACACTAGTACCAAGCATCTCATAGATGTCACAACCTAGTAACGATTTTATGCAATCCATGCAGAAAAATAAGACATAACACATGAATACATGAGGACCAATAAAACACACAGTGGAAAAAAGAACTTAAGAGATTATTTAAAACTATAAAATAAACAGACCTCAAGAAAATTGAGTTATTACTAAACAGCTCTCAACTACTAACACCCAAGTTCCTTACATTAAATAAATTTCTCGACAGAGACACATTAGATATTTAATTACAGGTCTATTCTTCCCACCCCCACTCCCAAAATGCCCAAGTAGGGATGAGTATAATGTTATGTGGGCAGAAATAGTTATTCACAATAGCAACAACACTGCAAACGCTAAAAACGTCCACCAATAAAGGAGTGACTGAATAAAATATGGTACATCCGTACAATTACTATACAAAAAGAAAACTCTGTTTATGTGCCAATATGGGGCAATTGCCAAGCTATGTGTTTTTAAATGAAAAAAAAAAAATCAAGGGGCGAACAAACATATTACTTTTACTGCTGTACTATGTAACAAAGAATGGGTGGAGAAGATTATATTTGCTTGCATATGTGTGATTTTTTAAAAAAATTTCTTTAAGGACACACCAGAAACTAACAACAGTGTTTACCTTTCGTGTACGTGGGATGGAAGTGGGATAAATTGGGCAGATGGAGAACAGCACTCTACTTTTTTATGCTTTCTGATTTGTGGACCATGTTAACATAACACCAATTCAAAAGAATGTTTAAAATTTAAATTGTACACTTAAAAACAACCACTAGATGGTGCTGCCCCCATAACAAATTCATAGTGTAAGCTTGGACACCTGTTTATCATAACAATATCTAAATTTCTAACACTTTTGAAGCTAAAGGTGACAATCTGCAGTAGAAAAATCAGAATTTTAGAAACACTCGAAAGCATTCCACACCCCCAAGTGACATGCATATTTGATTATGTATTTTCTCTCTTTAAATATAAACTTTCGGCTGGGCATGGTGGCTCACGCCTGTAATCCTAGCTCTCTGGGAGGCTGAGGTGAGAGGATTGCTCAAGGTCAGGAGTTCGAGACCAGTCTGAGCAAGAGTGAGACCCCCGTCTCTACTAAAAATAGAAAGAAATTATCTGGACAACTGAAAATATATATATAAAAGGTTAGCCGGGCATGGTGGCGCATGCCTTTAGTTCCAGCTACTCAGGAGGTTGAGGCAGAAGGATTGCTTGAGCCCAGGACTTTGAGGTTGCTGTGAGCTAGGCTGACACCATGGTACTCTAGCCCGGGCAACAGAACCAGACTCTGTCTCAAAAAAAAAAAAAAAAAAAAAAAAAAATATATATATATATATATATATATCCACATTTAACAATCTTGTCAGGTTACCTCAAATGCTATCTGTATAACAATGGGGTATAAATCATAAATAATTTTTTTTGGTATTTTCTCAGCTATAATTTTTCTGTCTTCTTGGGTCTGTACTATATGAAAATAAGGCAAATATTCTGTCCCTGTGCCTCACACTGTAGACAGAGGCCCTGGGTGGATGGGATTAGTGCTGGGTTTAGGAGTCAGGCCTCACATGCTAAGGGGCATCTGGGGACAGCTGTGGGGGCAGTGACGAGGGTCAAAGAGGGCCCAGCTGTGCCAAGCAGCTCCACTGTCACCTGACTTATCCATTGATGTTCTGTTTAGGATTTAGCTTGTAAAAAAAAATCCCATTACTAAGAACAAGCTAGCAAACCTCTGAGCTAAAGCATGCCACCAGCAAGAACTGAAGCAAAAGCTGCTAGCTTTGTCCACCGCCAGAGAGGGGGGTGGTGTGAGCATGCAGCACAAGAGAGACACCGCTCCAGGGAAACTGGCACATGGCGCCACGGCCAAACCACACCGTACTAAGCAAAAAAAAAAAAAACATACTCAAATCATATATAGCTAGTAGAATGACTAAAATAAAAGGTCTGACCATACCAAGTGTTAATGAGGATGCCAAGCAACTGGATCTCTCATTCACTGATGGTGGGAATGTAAAATAGTACAGCCACTATGGAAAAGTT